TGCTTTAAACTTCTGTTCAAAGTTTTAATGCTGCAAGAAAATAATTAACCATCAACGTGAGTGAAAAAATGACTGATAATGTGCCTGAACCACCTCAAGCATTTTGCTGACATGCTTTAAGAGACTTTGTATAATTTAACCTTTTTGTAGCCTCATGCACCTGAAGTTCAGCACCTTATAGCTTCTGGATTGTGTTCACAAACCCACTCTTCCTTACTCAGTGTTTTGGTTGATGCTTGCTGACAATCAGTGTGACACATTTTGAATGAGTCACAGGTGGATCTGCTTTTCTAGGTTTAATTCACTACAGGCACCTGCTGCTAAGTTTGTTGCAAATAGTGGAAAATCATCTGCAGGTGGAGGATGATATCTTTTTTTAAAGGTGATAGCACTAAATACAAGACAACTAATGCATCAATAACTACTGAAAAAGAAAACAATCTCCAATAATTGTTCAAGTTCAGAATCATTTGATTTGTCAGATGGACTTTTCTTTTTCCTGCGGACATTCAACATATTATTCATTAAACCTTGTAGATTTGGAGTAGCTCAAACTGAGCAGCACTCCCAGTTCTCATCATTTTGAATAAAAGCTTGACATCAGAATAACAGAAATTAACTGAATGTAACGTCCAACCATGAGTGGATGGGCTGCCGTCATGGTCGGCTAGCATCTTGAGAAAGGGATTATTTTGGCAGGATAATGTGGTCACAGCACTGAGTGAGTCTTGAGATAAAAGAACTGAGAGTCTTCCATTGAAGATAGCGATGAAATCAAACCGAGGCTCAGGGATTCTGCACTGAAACTCCACCGCAGCACCCACCGAGTGCAAGGTGCATCTGTTACCATGGTACCCGGCACAGCCAGCCCCTTTCAGGTCTGTCAAGATGAAGGGGGTAAAGAGACAATTTTGTTCTCTCGCCTGCACATTGAGGGAAATGGACGTGCTTATATGTGTGCTGCATGTTCCCAGCAGAGAGTCAGGTGGGTTTAAGACGCCGTGCGCTGACAGGCTCGTCACATGACATGAATCATTCAGTCACCACAGCAGAGCTGGAAATGTCACATCTCATTAGCATTCCTCATGCCTGGGTGCCCCAGCATCTCTGGCGTTGGAGCTAAGGGGGAGGATGATTAAAGAGAGAAGCTGAGATTTTAAATGCAAACAGACATTTATTGCATTGGGAAGCAGTGTTGTACAATATCCTCACAAAAAAAAAAAAAAAAAAAATCATTTGCAGTACTGTAGCACTTAATGAGATCATATAGTCTGTTGTGCAACTGTTTGAGCCCGGCGTCTCATCAGGACCAAGCGTGCATTTCAGATTCTCCGTGGGATTATTTGCTCACCACTCCTCCCCCTCCGTTTCTGTCTCCTTCTAAAGAGTCGGATGCTACTTTGCTCACAGTGGAAAAATGCTGACTTTACCTTCCTTGGCAGCCAGATTAGGCAATACAAGAACAACAGGAGAAACTGTACAAGCAACATGTAAAAAAAAAAGAAAGAAAAGTAAAAGAAAAGTCAAGCTAAGCCTGCTACTGTCTTCATCTTTCTGATAAAAAACTAGATTTTTGTGTTTTTTGCTACAGAGCCAAAAGGTTTTCTCCTTTCAAAAACAAAAACAACATCAAATACATCATTCCGTATTGTAAACCACAATCAACACTAATAGTAAATAGTACTTTATCATAATTTTTATTACAAGATATGAGGCCACTGTACAAATCAGTGAGAATTGTACAGTACAACGCAGATTTAAGACTGTTTTCTTGAGGTTTGTCATTCAAAGCTGTTTATACGAGGTGCTTCAAGAATACACAAGAGTTTCAGAACTGCTGCCATGCATGCATGAGTTCATCTTTGCCATGCATGAGTTGGTAAATAAGTGTATTTTTTTTTTGTCCGTTTTGTTTCATTTTGTCTGAAAGAGCCCTAAAAATAATGGCAACCAAACGAATGAACTCTGAGTAAATGTAAAGCACGAAAATAAAAGTTTCCCGATATATTTACCCTCATGAAAATTTGGCACACATACACACAATAATGCGCACAAATGCAATTATAAATATTTGTATCAATAGGAGTTTTACAGTCAAGTTTACAGTATTAATCTGTCCAGGTGAAAGCCTGGGACGCTTTACAAACAAGTGGGAAGTACACTGGTTTTAGAAATTACTTGTCAGCTGCAAAGTATGACAAAATCACTCAGGCAACATCAAGAAGTGTTAAAGTGGAAAATAATATCACCCCATTTGCTCAAAGTTTGCTCAACATACAAAAAACATCATTTTAAAAAGGAAAATGCTCCCTCAGTCCTTTAAGTCACAGCAAAGGACATCTCCTCAAGAATGAACAATAAATAAACGGAACAAACCAGTTTACCAGTTCTCACTTTGTGCAAAAAAGAACATGGGCTAACCTTTCCATATTTACAGACTCTGTTCGCCCTCACCCAAAAACGAAGAGCTGAAAGAACGGTACAGGTTTGATTGAGAAGATAGGAGAAAGTGTGTGCTTTAGGATTTTATATTAGATCTGTTTCCTGTCCCTGATTTCTGTATTTATCTCCACCCTTCACCTCCTCCTCCACCCCCCGTGGCTTCTCCTGCAATTGGATTTATGGCGAAACCCTGTAATCGAGGGTGTGTGTGTGTGTTTATGTGTGTGTGTTGAGAGGGAAGCAGGTTGGGGTGGGGGGGTCCACCTGGGGCTCTCCTTTGCTGCCATCCCTGCCAGCAGTGTGTGTGTGTGTGTGTGTGTGTGTGTGTGTGTGTGTGTGTGTGTGTCATCCAGCTGGAAGAGGAGGGTGTGGAAGTGCTGCTTGCTGCCACATGAGAGAAAGTGCTTATATACAGTGTCTTTGGATTAAATCTGGTAAATATCGTCACCATAAAAAATTTTCAAGAGTGTCTCTCATTTTCATTTTTCCTGTTAAGGGGTGGGAACGTTGAGCTCCAACGTTCTCTCTCTCTCTAAGCCTCTGTCGAAGTCTTCTCTGTTCCATTTTTCAGCGCCTTGTCATCACCGTTCTCATCCTCGATCACAACTGTGGATGACAGGGGAGGCAAAGTTAATGGGGAGGGGGTTGATGGGGGAGAAGAGAAGAGAAGAGAAGAGAAGAGAAGAGAAGAGAAGAGAAGAGAAGGAGGAAGGGAGGGGTCTCAGTTTGGTGTGGCATCTTGGAAATTTACCATCAAGTGACAAGGGGGGGGCATTAAAAAAACAGAACCTTGAGTTTGGAGCTGGATGAGCAGTGGTGATGTGTGCGTGCATGCATGTGCAAATAAATAAATAAGACAATGCGAAGATAAATAAAAAGATAAAGACGTGTGCAGATGTGCATCAGTTGTGTTTTTAATGCTGCAGATGTGTGTGAGTGCAGCTCCTTCACGTGTGTCCATAATGTGCTTGCGCTCTGCATGGAACTGTGCATGTCTTAATCTGGAATGCATAAAAACAAAAACAAAACCAGTCAAATCTCGCCATGCAAGCACACAGATCAGAATTAAAAAATAAAACAACAACATGGCATCCTTTCAACAGGGAGGGGGCATGAAGTCTGTTGGGCAACATTAAAATGACATTAAACCGCACGCATTGCGCATTCAACTCGTGTTGCGGTGAGAGCAGAATATTCAAACATCCACTCAACAGAACCCCGCATGCAAAAACAGCACAACCCGCAACATTACAGCTGATCAGGGAAGCATCCTCACTTGTGGTAACCAAAAAGTGCGCATTCACCACATCACCATACAAGCGGCGGGGAGGGGAAAAAACGCCTAAATTATATAATTACCCCGTTTGCTCCTGCCTATCTGCCCGAGTTTGGGCGGACGTTTGTTCTGTGCTCCACTGAAGAAGTTGTTGGTGTCTTGAAGGCGACAGGTGAAGGAAAGGTGTCCCTCGTCGCCCTCGTTTCCATAATGACTCATATTTTCTTCGTTGAACGGCAGCACTTCCGACATCTCCAAAATGCGTCTTAATCACCAAGGCGCACCAGATGATACAATGTAGAGAGGGAAGGGGGTTAGGGGGGATTTTTGTCCCAAAGCTTAAACCCAGTGGTCGGTGATAAACATTAGGAGAAAAAAAATAATAGAAAAAGGAAGAAAAGCAATCTGTTGGCACGATCTATTCCTTCTTGTTTATCCAGATGACGCGCGTCAGTCTCCGTCCATCTGAGGAACAACCAAAGCTCGAGCTCTTTAGATTCCTCGGTCGTGGAGCTTCGGCAACATTATTTAAAAATAAAAACACACACACACACACAATCCAGAGGTTTTGTTGTCTCTGCGCGCGTGTTGCTTTTGGAAATGGAGGCGCGCGCGTCCTACAGCACAGAGCCCGAGAGGCGCGCGCGCTGCTTCGGCTGATCCCGTCGCTCGGAAAATCGGAGGGAGAAATGCAAATCGAGGCGCGATGCAAAACACGCATCCCGGGGAGACCTGGCGAGGGAGCTGTACACAAAGAGAGAGAGAGAGAGAAGGGGGGTTCTGGTGCAGCCCAGAAGAGTCCAGCTGGAGCTCAGCTACACTCCGCTGGGTGTCGGTGGCTCCAAAACTCAACAATTCACTCACATCTGAGTCAGGTGCGGGAAATCCACGTTTGCGCGACCACTCCATGAGTCAGACGCAGACAATCAGTAATTTAGTTGGTTTCATCATTTTTATTGTGGTGGGCTTTAGTATCCCAGACCCTCACCCCCCACTTCAGAGAATGGAACCAGTGGATGGGCCCCCACAATGGACCCATAAAGCTACAAAGTACTTTATTTGTCATTTGTGCACAATCCATGCATATTGGAATTATAGATTTCTCTCAGTCATAGTCAAAAACACTGAAACAACACTAAATAAAATAAAATAAATAATAAAGTGGTTTGTATCTACACTGTACAGAAAGTAACATCTACAACTTCCCATGTCATGGGTTATTATTGCACCTGATTCAGTGGTTTTGTTTTACCATCTGACTGTGGCAGGGAAATAAAACTATTAAAAATAACTTGTAACATGGGTGATGTCATCCGTTCTATTGTATCTCAGGTTATAAAAAACTTTTTTTGTGTCTGTGAGTGAGCCGGATGGACTGAGTCCTTGATGATTCCATCTGCTCTTTTTCGACAGTGCTGTACGTCGAGCCCATGGAAGGAAGTTTTGTCCTGTGATCCCCTCCGCAGTCTTTATGACTCTTTGCAGTGCCTCCATTTCTGCTTGTTCCCATACCAGACGGTGATGCCTACAGTTAGGATATTCTCGATCAGTCCATAGGCCTGTGTGAGAGGGTGCTGGTTCAGACCTGCTTTCCTGTGCAGCCTAACGAAGTAAAGCCTTTGCTGGACTTTTATCACTGTGTTGAGAGACCAGCTTATGTCCGATGTAACCTGCAGTCCCAAGAATCTATGGCTGTCAGCCCTCCCTACCTCAGTCCCTTTAATGGCGAGTGACTGTAATGGGGGAGGGTTCTTCCTCAAGTCCAATATGATTTATTTAGTCTTGTCTGTATTGAGGATGAGGTTGTTCTATGTTGTCTACCAGCGTCCTGTACCCTGACTTGTCCCTCCCACCCTTCGGATGAGCCCCAATATAGTGGTGTTGTCAGTGTATTTATTGTAATAGCAATGATGTGTGCTGGGTGGAGACACAGTCATAAGTCTACAGATTAAAGAGGCTGAGGCAACAGCCCTGCAGGGATCCTGTGCTGAGCTCAGCAGACACCCGTTCTCCCATTCTCACCACCTGTGGTCTATCTGCCAGGAAGTCCAGGATCCAGTTACAGGTGGGAATCGGGACGCTGAGGTCTGTCAGCTTCTCTGTCAGTTTGTCCAGGTGGATGGTAATGAAAGCTGAGCTGTAGGCCAGGAAGAGCATCCTGGCATACATTCTGTTGCAGAGTGTAGGGCTATTACTCCTGCACCATCCACTGATCGATTAGGGTGGTAGGCAAATTGGAGTGGGTCGACAGTATCCGAGACCATGCGGTGGACGTGCTTAATAACCATATTTTCTATAGACAATTCATAGCAACTGATGTAAGTGACACTGGCCTGAAGTCATTAAGGGTGGATGTTTTGGGAACTGGTATGATGATGCTGGATTTGGGGACCACTGCCTGGGACAATGATAGATTGAAGATGTCAGCATATATTACAATTAGTTGTTCTCCACAGGCCTTCAGAACTCTGGGAAGAACTCCACCGGGTCTCCCAGTCTTGTGGGGGCTCAACTTCTTCAGAGCTTTCAGGACCTGTGCATGTGTGTCACCTGGAAGGCAGTGTCTGCAGGGTCATACTGGGGACCAATCAGAAAATGGGTCCCCACACCAGAGGATGGACCTACAAC